TTTTGAAAGAAATATTTCGAAGAATTCATACTAATATTATAAATGAGAAAATAACTCTGTCTGTCTGCTATCTTTTCACACTTAATCTGCTGTACCGATTTAAATGAAATTTGGTATAGAGATAGTTTGAGACCCTGGAAAGGACATAGTATAGTTTTTATCCCGGAAATCACCCATTAAGGGGTGGAATTTCTCAAGTAGAGGATATTTTTTATTTATTTTTTAAAGTATTTACGTATTTTTCTCTAACTACACGATAGTTTATCTATGCCATATTAACCGTCAAAATCTTACGTAAAGACGAATCCGAGCGAAGCAAGAGTGAGTCGTTAGTATACTTAATAAATAGTGCACTTAATATATAATAATGTATACTTAATAAAATACCTATGAAAGTGAGAATCAAGTATATATATTCATATAGATTTTGTATACCATATAATACAAAACTCTTGAGTTCATAAACTATTTTGCACCCGACAGAGGGCTTACCATTAACTTTTACATAGCGATTTATTTCCCATGCAGTCAGTAGCCGTGACCTAGGTGTCTTTTTGCCTTACATTTTATTACATTATTTCAAACCGTATAGAGCACGCGCGTCGATAAAACAAATGAGCCAGTTTTTTTCGACTCCAATTAAAGTTATGATTTTTGACAGATAACATATTTTTTATGGAAATATAAAAATACCCTATAGCACTCTCCGGTACTCGTATGTAGCTTTTATCAGTGAACGTTTTTCAGAATCGTGGCAGTAGTTTCAGAGATTACCTTCTATATTGTATTCCAAAAATATTTTAAACATATTTTTTATATAATATTACTTTCTTAGATTTACGCGAAAAGCCATCTCTATACATATAATAAATTCTGAGTCGAATCTGTACATTAAATATATTTTGGAAAATCTTATTGGAATAGTCATTATTAACGATACAAAGGCCGAATCTATAGTTTGTAGAATTTTTGTCTGTTTGTTTGGGAACGGATTACGATAAAACTACTGGACAGATTTTAATGAAATTTGGTATGATCATAGCTGGTTATATCCGGGCCAACATATTGGATACTTTTTACTCCGGGAAAATATCTCATCTTTGAGAAATCTATACTAAACGTTAAAATGTAAAATGTAAAAGTTTAAAAAAAAATTAATAAGAAAAAAATAAATAAATAAATAATGTAAAAGTTTTAAGTAAAACTATACTTTTAAATTTTCACTTTTTTTTACTCTTTATTGTTCCTCTGTTTACCCCCGACATTACAACCATATTAATGTTGTAATAAAAAAAAATGATTTTTCCTTATTATTTACATTAAGGGAAATACCTGGGTCTTTTTGGCGTAAAACGCTTTAGTATTACATAATGAAATTTAAATATGATTACCATAAAAACGGTGACGTATTTAACATGCGCTTGCGCAGAATTTGGGCAATTCAAGTTTTTTACATTACATGTACATAAGTATAATGTACCTAATATATAAACTTAAATTTAAATATTTTAATTGGTAATAAGGTTTTTTATTATAAATTAAAAAATGACATAATTTATTTTTTTAAATTGACTGCATCTTTTTGTTATTTAATATGAGTTTGAACCGCTGAGTTTCTTTCGCCAGATTGATTGATTGGTTTTCTTTCGAGACTGCTGGTATCATCATGTTCATATAGACAGTTTAGTAAAAAATTGTAATAATTTAAAGATATTTTTTTTCAATCTGAGTTTCATGTAGTTCTACATTACCCTATTTAAAATATACATATTTGTAAAACCTAGTAGTAACTCTAGTAATTTAAAATATTAGCTTAGTAGATTTTGGTAAAGTTTTATATAGAAAATATAAAAAAAAAATGTAAAATCCATACTAATATTATAAATGCGAAAGTAACTATGTCTGTCTGCTACCTTTCCACGCCTAATCCGCTGAACCGGTTTAGATGAAATTTCATATGGAGATAGTTTGAGACCCTGGGGAGGACATAGGGTAGTTTTATCCTGGAAAGTATCATGAAGGGGGTGAAAAGGGAGGGGGGGGGGTGTGGAAATTTGTATGGGGAATCAATTATTTCTCAAGTAAGGGATATAAAACTCATCATACTTATATATATAGACTGTCTATTCCATACTAACCGTTAAAACGTACCTACAGACGATAATATTATATTAATAAGTATTCTATATTTAGCTATATTATATATTAAGCTTATTTGCGTAGAATTTCAATTAAGGAAACCATGAAATTAAATTTAGAAATCATAAAAAGCACGTCTTTTTCCTTCAATACAAATACATAATCAATCTTTTTGTACTTTGGAATTTTGCGGAAGACGTCATTTATTATTTTTTTCTATATGTATATGGAATTTTGTTATAACGATAAATATATACTATTGAGGATTTTTTACATACATATAGTTTATGGACCTTACAATAATTAAGGCTCATTTTTACTGCTGTACATCTTGTTAATATCAGATAGCTGTGTAGCTAATGTATTTTGTGTGATATTAGCCTGTTGTTAAGAGGCACTTCGGGACTTAAAAATAATTATAACTAGCGACTCACCCTCGCTTCGCTCAGGTTCCTTCCTAGGTACGTTTTGACGCTTAGTATGGAATAGATAAATTTTTTAATTTTTTTTCGTGAATTTTTCCGATGTTTTAATAGTTATTCGGGGTGAAGATAAATCCATAAAAATAAAGATAATATAGATCAGTTCAGCCGTTCTCGAGTTATAAGTGGTGTAACAAACCCGATTTTGTTTTATATAAATAAAAATATTTTCTATTAATTTTCACATAAATATGTAATAAGATTCTAAATGTTGTTTGTTCTAATTATCACAATAATAGTTACAAACAGTTTTCATGATATTTATGTGAGGATTTCTTCTATTTTATTATTATTGGCCGATATCAATAAGCTTATAAGTGTTTATGTTGTCAATTTTGTTTCTCATTGTTATTTTTTTAATATTTATGCTATGAGGTGATAAAATTCATGAAAAAAAACACACATTTAGAGGTGGTATTTTGAAGTCATTTTGAAAGTCGACCTATTCAAAGTTAGGTACATATACAAGGTGGAACAAATGGGTGGACATGGAAGAAAAGTACCTTTAATATTGAAGTTATCAAGTTTTGCTCAAAGAAAACATTTCTTTATTTAAAAAAAAAAGTTTACCTGAACAGGTAATCGAACCACCTAAAAGTACAATGAAATACACGTTCACTATTTTATGTAAGTAACAGATGTATAGCTAATATTTTATTTATTTATAAAAAAAAATGATTTTGTTGCTAGCTGTTATATATTTTTATATGTGTTTTAGTTTAATTTAATAAAAATATAATGAGGTCATAGTAAAATAAATTACGTAAATTGTTTCAATAGTTGATTTTATGAGGAAATTTGTGAATCTTTGCGCATTTCAATTGCGCAAGCGCACACCGTTGTATTGAGTGACGTCAACTATAAGGACATCCCATATGTGATATGACTAGCATCTGGAAGACACGAGTTGCGTAATTTATACTAATTGTTACATATTGGTCTTTTCAAGTTTTAATTGAGTTTAGATGACTAATATTTAAAAAATATATATATGGTATATAAATTCTTTATCTATATATTATTTACAAAAATAAAAAAAAACCTGACTGCGTAAAAAGCTAACTAAAAAGATTAAAACAAGTTGACCAAGGAACATAGTATGCAGTCGGAAACACACATACATACTCGTATGTACACGTTTTATAATACAGATCCGTTCAGCCGTTCTGGCGTGAAAGAGTAACAAACATCCTCACAAACTTTCCCAATTATAATATTAGTATGGAAGTATGGATTAATGGGATAATGGGATTTAAATTATAATATAAAAATGTAACTTACAATTAATTAATTTATTAATTTATACAATTTATAAATTATAATAACTTTGTAATTAAGTTGACAGAGAAGCATCATACATTTTTACTTTCTAGCATAGTACCTGCTACCTCGTATCCCATGTACTAAACAGAAGCTAATTTAAACTTCAATTAAATAACTTATTAATAAATAATAACACTTAGTTAATTATGTTTTAAGTAAATGTGTATTATTTGTTAAATAATAGAAAAACAATTAACTGAATTATTACTCGTTTCGTTACTCATAAATTAATATGCTTTAATGACGAATTAGAGATTTCCTTTTTGTATAATGTAGTTTTTTTTAAATAGGTCAATATTATTCACTTCATTTATGTTTGTTTTGAAAACAAATATGTCAAGTTATATTGGTTTCAGTATTTTTTCAGTAGCAGTGATTAAAATCAAAATAGATTTTCCTACACTAGCGATACATCTTTTGCCCGGGTTCGTCCCTAGGTGATTCTTTAAATTTACATAGCTTTTTTTACTCATTAACCGATTGAAATAAAACAAATACTAAATGTTATGTGAAGCTTACCACAGTACATTAGTGACAACCGTACCCAAATCGGTTAAGCCGTTTATGAGTTTAGCGCGGACAAACGCACAGATAAACAGACAAAAATTCGAAAATTTATTATTCTGGGTTCTATTGCGTCAATAAAGATCCCCAATAATAGTTTTTCTCAAATATCTTCCATGTACAGACAGCGATCAGTTACAATTTTATTATATGTATAGATTACTATATTTAATATATTTTTCTGACATTATTGAGTTAAACCTAATTTTTACTTGACTTTATGTAATTAAATGAAATAATATTAATTTAAAAATAAATTAAAAATGAAAAACATAACTTTTCCTAATATTCTTTAGAAATATTAATAAAAATATGTTTAAACTTACATTAGAAATACTTCAGTAGGGTAAATACACTGTTTGAATAAAAACAATATATATAATTTATAATTTATTACTTAATTTATTAAAGCTTCTGATGGCGTTACGGTTTGAAGTTTGAACACATTCACTAACGCTATAATATTTAACCTACATATATATACACATATCACTTATACATTTCTGGAAGGCATTTATATGCTATCCTTACATAACCAATAGGGCACTTGTTTCTTATATTGTCGTTTCCAAGCCTGCTTAGATATGGAGGGATGAATGCATGCCTTATAATTTTTCTTTTTTCTCGTTTCATTTGACTCATTTTAGTCTGGCACGGGACTAATGGCGATATTTCCCCAGGAACAACGGGATATTTTTGCTCAATTTCTGGTTTCGGTGATAGGAATTCTCTGAAATCCTCCATGTCCTTTTCTATTTTGTCTTCAGATGTCGAACACAGTTTGCTCGCTGATATAACAGCGAACAGTGCGAAGAGAAGTACGATTTTTATTAAAGCCATGTTGCTTCGTTCGTCTACAGCCGGCGACAGTGCTACAGATCCCGTCTAACGCCTTTAAATACTGTGTGTGAGTCAGTGTGACTCACACACGATGTATTCTAATAAAATAATTAATGGTCGCAATGACGTATTTTAAATTAGGATTTATCAAATTAATATTAAACCGACGCAAGATGCTGTGGTTATTGAAATATATGGACATACGTAATTAAAATTGAAAAATGTGTGTAGTCTCTACATAGGAATTGATTGACACGTTCGATTTCCGCACGAGGACATTTTTGTGTTGTTGATGATTTATATATACTAGCAGGTCACCCTCGTTTCGCTCAGCTTCGTCCTTAGTGAAAAGCAAAAATAAATCTATCCCACGGGAACCGTGCATTTTTCCGGGATAAAAAGTAGCCTATGTGCTATTACAGACTATAATCTATCTCGTATATAGTAGTAGGATTATTTAATATTATAAAAACATTCATTTGTTGTTTTGTTCTTTTTATCCCAGAAAAGAATAAATTGATTGAATTCTTTATATTACCAATGCGATTACGATGTTTTTTGAAGTTATATGTACATATGTATCTGCTGAAAGGAAAACAGTGCACATAATAAGTATTTTAATTACATATATTATTAAAAATACTCTACTTGCTTCTAATAATAATGATTTATATATGTTATTTAATTAACGTTTTGTGACACGCCCTATGTATAAAATTTTAACATAGACAATTTCTAAAAATGTAGGCGGCCATAAAAGTGATAATGGTAAATAAACAGCCTAGTTTGGATATTAGCCCCATATGAATAAAGCAATAAAAATACAATTCTATTTATTATGGAAGGAAATTGGGCTTGGCCGAGCAACGGAAATAAACATTTTTGGTGAATAATTATTACATTCGTAAGGTTTTTGTGGACTTCTAGATGTGGACTTAGAGTGCTAGATGTATTGTTAAAAATTGTTATTTAAAAAAAAGTGCGATTTATAAAAAATTGAGTTCGTTGAGTTATTTACTAACTCCATTTTAACTGAAAAGTTCTTATTATTATATAAACAATCGTAGTTTATTATTGATTTAATTTAATTAAATAACATTTTTTTGAATTAAATTATTATCTATACAGATAAATAAAATTGAACTGTCTGTTTGTAATGTCAAAATAACAACTTTTTACTAAATGAATAAGATGTATGAAATATATATGATGTATAAATGAGTATGTATGGTACATATAAGAAAAACATAACTTAAAATTTTTGTCTGTCTAATGGCTGATCTCCGAAAAGGCTGGACCGATTTTGAAGGGGTTTTCACTGGCAGGTAGCTGATGTTACAAAGAATAAATTAGGTTTATTTTAGAAAAAGAATTATTAATATTTTCAAATAAACCTAGTTAAGGACAATTTAGGTGGTAACCTATTAAGGATATATATTATGTATTATAGTTACGATTATTACTAAAGTATCGCACAACAAGAAACTGCGCATAGTAACATGTTCGAAGTAATTGTTTGTTTGTTACATAAATTATAATTAATGCAAATAAATGTACGTTTTTTGTAATATATATTCTATTAATATACATATAATATTATTACAATATAATAATATATTATTATTATATTCAAATAATTTTATATAAACAATAATTATTATTATTAGTGAATCATTGTTATGAGGCATAGTTACAATTTAATATCTTCATAATATGCTAGCGACTCACTCTCGCTTCGCTTCGGTTTCGTCCCTAGATAAAAACAAATCTACACCACGGGAACCTTACATTTCTCCTAGATGATATTTAATCTATAGCCTTTCTAAATAAACGGGCTATCTAATGCAAAAAGAATTTTTCAAATCGGTTCAATAGTTCCTGAGATTAGCGCGTACAAACAAACAAACGAAGTTGCCTCTATGTAATAATAAGTGTAGATTAGTCCAATTTTCTTATAAAATAATAAATTCGTCGTAATTATACAATACTTTTTGAGTTTCAGAGCTATAATAGAAAATTTTATTGTTACACGCGTGTTGTTGTCTTTGTGTGAATGCTGTCTTTTATACTGAATTATGCGGCATTTAATTGCTAGAAATATAATTATTAAGTCTAAAAATGTATTTAATAATAATATTTTCATTTAAAAAAGTATTTAATAAAAATAAATTAAAAAAATATTTTGAAGTAAAACTTCTTTAGGCGTGACTGAGAGGTAAGTCAATACATTGAAAAAATGAGAGTCGCGGATTTGACTATTAATATTTTTTTAAATATATTTATATTTTTATAATTATTATTATGTATAATAATATATATTTATTATTAATAATTTTATAATAATTATAACTTATATATAAAAGAAAGTCGTGTTAGTTACTTCGCTTATAACTCAAGAACGGCTGAACCGATTTAGCTGAAAATTGGCAGGGAGGTAGTTTAGAGCCAGGAGAAGGACATAGGATACTTTTTATCCCGTTCGACCGCGTTCCAATTTTTATGATATTTTAATTTTTGGATTTCTCTTAGTCCGGAATAGGTAAGTATTAAAACATATAATTAAAATGTGAGAAAGAAAGATTTTTTCTTTTTATATCTATTTAAAACGTACCTAGCGACGAACCCGAGCGAAGCGAGGGTGAGCCGCTAGTAACTTATAATAGTGAATGTTTATTACTGTGTGATGAATGTGCATAAATTAAATAAAAGCTATTATGACTAATTGTTGCCATGGTAACCGTTGTTATTGTCTGACAAATGATATATATTATATTCTATCCGTATAAAATATTCTATAAATATATGATTATAATATACCTAATACGCCTTATTTAATTATTGATTTGTTTTAATTTAACACAACACGCACGGTAAGGTTACACGCACTATTTTTTTGCTAGCAGAATTTTTTTCATAGGTCCTAGGTGCCTAGAAGCTTATGTGTACTCCAGATTATAGTTTACCTGTGGCTCTCATCAAAACCCGTCCAGCCATTTCAGGGTAAAGGAGTAACATACACATGTACATACACACACAAATTCCGTATTTATAACGTATTAAAATAAATTTACATAAAATATCTACATACAAAATCAAAAACCCGCAATTAACAGCTAGAACTAACGTCACAACCAAATCGATAGAGTTTTCTAACGCAAACTTAACACATTTCCTTCTCAAAAGAAACGGATAGAAAAAATCCTTGTACGAGATGCCCCCACAATAATTAGTTTAACAGTATTCACCCCCACCCACCCCCGGATTATATGTGAGTGTGTCCCCCCCTCCCCACTATTGAGAAAAATATACCGGAAAATTGCCTTGGCGGTATTAAGAGTTTATATGATGTGCATGTTTTGTTTTGTTTAGGCAGTTACAGTATATCATGAGATAAAACGTTACGTAACTAAGTTACTAAATAGCATATCTTATTTATGAAGAAATCTAATCTAATCTAAATGCCTTTTTAATTTAATCTTTCTTTATGTTAGAGATATGTAGAGATTGCAGGCTAAAGAATTATATAGACAGAGCAAAAAAATGTCAAAGTGAAAAATATTAGCGTGTTTTGCTGTTTATGCTACTATTTTCAATTTTGCCATGCATATCGTTTGTGTGTTAATGTCCCAACGCATTTTAATGTTTTTAATTTAATGAGTTTTAATGAAGTGTGAAAGGTGTACTCTTGAGACTGAAATATAAGCGGTCAGTTTGGGCTATCCCAGCAACTATTGCTCGCAACTTGTGATGCTATTTAAGTATAACATCTGAAACTAATAACTATAATTTTTATTACATTTATTTTTAAGTTTGTAGTGACCCTACTTGCTGTGCCAGCGATCGCGGGTTCGAGTCCCGCTGGGGGCATTCATTTGTTTGATGCGAGCACCAATGTTTGTACTCCAGTCATGGGTGTTTAAATTAATAATATGTATCTATTTAAAGTTATATATGTGTAGTGTATCAACTATCTGGTATCCATAACACAAGCCTCGTAGCTTACCATGGAACTAGATGGTGCTGTGTGTTCATGTCTCAACATATTTATTATTATATACGAGTATAACGGTTCTTATTATCTAAATGCATTACCTTTTATAGTGAATACTACATGAAAAATTTTTTTTTTTATAAAAATTTTATAAAATATTTACACTATATACTATTACAATAATAAATAAGTATTATACATAATTAAATATTAGGTATATATAGGAAAAATCACCAACACAATATAATACACGATATTTGAAAGTAATTACAAATTGTATAAAAACAGGAAGAATTACAAAAGAAATAAAAGATATTTTTTTGATTTTTTTTGGAATATATGTAGAGAGCATCTCCGAATCCTCCAAATCGATTAAAGAATATTTGCCTGTGTGAAAAGGGCTTTATTTCTACACTTTTTTGCAGCGTATTCTAATAATGTTCTTAAAGTTAAGTTTTATATACAACTAGCGAGTTACTTTGGGTGTGCTTTGGTGTGTCCCCAGGTGTAATATATATTATTTTATACAGGTTTTTACATATCAGATATTTTATTTGTGGTACTCCAGGTTTTAGTCTTATCTGTGTAAACTTCATAATTTTACAAATTTCATCCAAATCCGCTTAACCGTTTCAGTGTAAGACAAACATACACACATGCATACAAACTTTCGAATTTATAGTAGTAGTGTAATGTAGAGAGATAACTAGTTGGTGAATAATAGGTATTTCCGGCGCTTGACAGACCTCTTACTTTCTAAAATATTTAAGTTGTAAAGTTTTAGTCGTCGTTACAAATGCTATTTATTTTGTATCCATATCATAATATAATATATGAAAGTAAGCCCGAAGGCGAGTTTCAACAGTGAATGTTCATAGAATTTGGATATAAGAATTAATAATCAAGAATTTTGTTTAAAAAATATTAAAGTTTTTCTTTCCTTACAGAAGACAATTTTGTTTTATAAATTGAGAGAAAAACGGAACTCGTAATATCGTTATATTTATGG